TCCGGTCCCGGCAATCCAGGCTGTCCTTCCGCTCCTCGGATTCCTGGATCGCCCGGCTGTCCTGGATCTCCCTTCGGCCCATCATCTCCACTCGGCCCCGGTTGTCCCGGCGGTCCTGGCATTGGTGATAATAATGAAGGGCATGCCTGAAAATAAAATTTGAAAATATTTGCAGAAAAATACTTCAAATAACACTTCAAAAGGAAACTTACTTGGACCGTTAAAAGAGCGCAGATAACCGGTAGGAATGTAACGAAAGGATGCATCATCGATAATGACAATCTGAAAATTTTCAATTTTTTTCCAAAAGTAATGAAAATCTTGCAAAAAAATAAATTCAAAGTGAGATTTGATGAAACGAATTTCGAAGAGAATTTCTATTTATATTGGAAGTTGATCGCCTGATATGATTCATTCCGGAATTTATAAAACAAAGAAACATTTCAAAAATTCTTTGTGGGGTGATCATATCGAATGCAATAAAGTATAATAACATTAAATGATTATTGATAATATCTGTGAAAGCTAAACGAACCTTTTCATGAGATGATTTAAAGTAAAGATTTGTTAACTGATAGATCGATTAACAGGGCAATCCGGAAGGATGGGCGAAAGAGTAGGATTTGAGGGTTCGAGGAACATAGATGGTATGGAAAGTGACCTGGTGTCAGTTATTCATAAATTCAGGAATTTCTGAAATCCCTTGAATCGTTCAACTTGCTTTCCTCTCTGTAACTTCAAGTAAAATTTAATTTCAATTTTTTTGTGTTTGGAGCATAGGCTTTAGGTAGGCTTTCAGTTTTAAATTAGGCTTGACTCTGAGCTCAATAATTCAACTAAACGAAGGGTGCTGGGAAAATTTGCGCATTATTTAGTGGAAACTACAAATTCTTCTGGTAGTATAACATTTCATTAGGCTGTCAAATTTTAACTGTGTAAAAGCAAAAAACAATTCAATAAAAAACAGTATGGTAAATCTAAATATAAAATAATAAATATTAAAAAGTAACCGATGAAAAAAATAATGTTTTTTAAAATAAAACCTTTAAAAGCAATAGATTGGCCAAATTAGCCAATATTATTATATATATTATATAGTTTGCAAAATGGAATTTATTGGTAAGGAACCAAAATTTAATGTTTTATCAGAATTAAATCACCGAAAGACATTTACAACTTGAATAATGCTTTATTATTTCTTCAGAAGAGAAATTTGTAACTTCTTAACTCAATTTATTAACCGAAAATTTACAAATCATTAAGCAACTCTAAAAACTTACGTAGTTAACTGATAACAATAAAGGCAAAGACTTTTGAACCTCGTGCTATATGGCATATAGAAATATCCCCAAAGAAAAAATTAAATATACAATGAAACGAGCTTACACTTAGTAAATTAGTCCTACGTTTGTCAATATTTGAAACAAGGAAACAACAGGAAACACGTACTCCATTAGATTGTAAGTTTCAGATAATATCAAAAAGAAATAAATTCCAATTGCAATGCCTTCTTTGACTTTACATGTTCTCCTCGTTTCAATCATAATGCCTACAACTGTTCAAGAATTCTCTCTCAATGCCTATATTATAATGTCACTCTTACTTCTCACTTAATTTCATGCTATATCACCTCATAATATTTAATTTTCCGGACTCTATGCTTTAACAACTATTTGAAACCATCGAATAGCGTGAATTGAAGTATATAAATGAATGACATTTGTTGTCTTCATATGCTTCAATGCTTTATTAGTATTATTACCCAAACCCTAAACCATTCTCTGGAAGTTTCAGGTGAAGACCTCAAATCACGAACTGAACCATTTACCAGTAAGAAAATGTTTGAAGTATACAATAAATTGTTACACGGATTACCACAAATTTAAATTATTGTTTAAAACGAGATGTTTCGATGAAATAGAATGTGTAACATGTTATGCTGATATGCAAATTTTAATTTTTGTGTTAAGTAATTATAAATAAGTGAAAGAACAAAGCATAACATTGTTTCATATTCAATGTTACAATTATTAGTTCATTTAATTCAATGTCTGCAAGCATATATTATTTCATTGTGTCAAGTAAGTAACAGTTAAAATAAAGAAATATAATTTGTTGATGTCTGGTAATTTTTCTATTCTTATCAAATAATTTTTCTATTCTTTCTGATAATATCATTGGCTTATTTTGCATTTTTTTGTTTTAAAATAATGGCAACTTTTTCTTATTAATGAAATATATTACAGTAATATTTTGAAATAAAAAACAAATTGGATACAGCACTCAACACATACAGTACTCGATTGAGAGATCGTTAATATCGTTGAATATTTTGGAAAAAAGTAATTTTTCAGTAGTATGTACAACACCATCCCTTGTTTTGGTGTGCTACAAGAAGAAGGATAAATCAAATCAAATGTTGAAAGAGAAATCAGCAAAGGATACTGAGAGTGCAGTTATATTTAGCAATATCGTATGTCTTCTGACTGACCAAATTGAAGTTTAAATTTTGTTCTAACTTCAATAGACATTAACAATTGTTATCTTTTAATTTTTTCAATTTTTTAAGAATTTCTTTATTAGTCCATGATTAAAGTAAATATTAATCCATAGCCTTTTATGGTCAATAAGTATATAGTGAATGTCTTTATTTGGTATCGGATGATTAATGCAGTGCTAATTAATCATCCGAATAGTTGTTGCTTGTTATTTAATCAAATAATTAAGCTCGGTTTTAATGATCTCTTGAAAATTTGCAGCGGTAATTGAAATAATTTTATTTCTTTTTTTTTTTAAATTTTACCAAAATTTTCTGGTAAAATTTTATTTTACCAGAAAATTTTATTTTATCGTTTTTCGAATAGGTTAATGAAAATTTTCCACCATATCTCTCTTTTTAGTATAGAAGGCTAAAAAGGTCTTTTATAAAATTCCGCTTTTCAACAAAATTCATACAATGAGCCTGAAGAATGCAGAAAAATGGAATATGATAAAATATAAGAAATAATAACCGTGAATTTCTATAAATTGAATGTTAACATTTAGCAAACATTAAACTGAATAATTAAAATTTGAAGCAAAATATAGAGAAAAAAAATATAATTTTCTTTTCAAATTTAGCGCAAAAGTGGAGTATTGTCGCTAAGAAGTACTCAAACGGATGAGGAAAGTAGCACGCAAAGTAATGCCTATCAAATGACAGTAACGCAAAGTACGCAGGATGACTCAACGTTAACTCGAGGACGTGGGACAAGCATTTATGAAAAAATGACCAAAGAACAAATGCTTCAAGCTGGAAAGACACAATTTAATAAAGTCAGCAAATTATACATTTAAATTTTAATATATTTCTATTTCTTATCGGCATTACTTAACTTGTCAATTTGTAATATTGAAAATCATTATTGTCATGATGTTGCCATTTTTAGCTCAGTTCTGATGCACAACGAAAAAGTAGGCGGCTGGGAAAGCCTACACGAAGTACAATTCTATCAAAAAGATTAGTTGAATTGTTAAATTTCATAAAAATTTTATTTCCAACTTTTTAGCTATAATTTTTGATTTTAATTTTTATATGAAAAAATGAAAATATATTTAAAAGTAGTGAAAAATATGAAAATCAATTATCGTTATAAAGAGAAAATTAAATTAAGAAATAATCAAAATTTAACTCAGTGAGATTTGATCAATCTAGCTTTAAAAGATAATGCTTATACTATCAATTTTAAAAAATTCCAACAATATATGATGAGAAGAAAGTCACAGCCTTCTTCAATATCACTGTCAGAGAAATCAACCGATCAAGGAACACAAACAGTTTCACGTACAGAGACAATACGTGCAGTTATGGCGCAAACAGACAAGTAATTATGATGAAAAAATCGCAATACTGTATGTGTTCTGTTTAGCATTGAAATATTTTAACAATATTTTAACTATCTGCTATCTATGGTAGAAAGATTCTTCAGGTTAAAAATCACTGTTTCAAGTGAGTAAAGATAAATATACATTGATAAATCGATTACTGATCTGTTTTAACATAATTTACCTATTATCTATCTGAAGTAGTCAGGCTATAGAGTTAATCGGTCGGATTGTTCATTTTTAACTAGCCATTAAAAATTCTAAATTTATAAATTTATATTGAATTAAATGAAAAATTGTGTGTTAAATATACGGTAGATTGCTCGTTTACTAATCTTAAATATTTTTTTTTTTATTTCAGAAAAATACCAAATAATGGATTTTCAAATAACCATTACGATTATTACAAAACATTGCAAAACAAATGTTTCATTCACAATGAAAATATTAAATCAAAGAAAAGAAAACAGATGAATCGTAGTAGTTTGATGCGTATCTTGTCTGTAATTTTTATGTAAATTTCAAAACCCTATTAAATTTGTAATAAAGCTTATTTAGTTCATTACGCCTTTGCATTTAAGATTATCAAAAAGAAATTGAAATTATAAAATTATTGTAATCTCTCTTCCACCCACCTATAGCATCAAGTTTAGTTTCACAAAAAATTTTTTAGGTTTCAGTTTCAAATAGAACGGACGCCTACTTTATAAAATTTGAAAAAAAAAAGTTGAAGAATTTTGCATTCACAACTTTGTTCAGAACATATTAAAACCCAAAATAACCGTGACATTTCGTAGACTTTTTTAATTTCTAAAATTAATTATTTTATAATTCTGATATTGTCCGACACTCATTTTATTGAACTGTCCGACAATTAAATTTATTGCATAAAGGTGATTGGAATTTCGCTTATGATGCAAAATAATTTTCAAACAAATAATGATACTGGGATGATAATAATGAAATCCAATAAATTGTCAAATGTTTAGTGTTGAACATTTGCACAGAGAGTTATGTGATTATTCATATTCGAAGAAACCCGAATTGAATATTCTTTTGCAGTCAAATTTTTTTCTCAGAAAATTTAAAAATATTAACAGATGAAATAATGACAGCAAAACAGTCAAAAAAAAACAAAATTTGCCAAACGCATCAATACTAACCCTTAATAAAAAGAGCCAAGAAACTGTAATTATATTACTGTGTAATACAAAATAGACTGACATCAAAATTTATTTTCATTTCGTTTTGTATCAAAAAATTCACCATTCGAGAATATAATATAAGGAAGACAGACATGTCAACAAAGTTTTTAGCTAATCTAAATGAGAGAAAAACAAAAGTGCAAGAAATGAAACTGAATCAATAAACAACTCCATCTTTTGGCAAGAAGTTAGGGATTGATAGCGACTGTAGTCAAGACTTAGTTTTATTCTTTTAATTTTAACCAGTTATAAAAAATTTAATTTCCCTCTTTTCTTACTATTTCTCTGAAAAGTGAAAAGTAGTAAGATATATTTGTTGAGGGAAAGTCTTCGTTCACAGATTTTGCATTGCAAAACAGATCATACCTAGATTGTAACATCCTGGAAAAAAAACTCTATTTAAAGTAAAAATGAAACAAGCTAAACTAAATAAAATTGAAAATTTCTATTAGCATAGATTTTCTTTAAGGAATAAATGATTTTCGAACAAGAGTATGATTAACAAATTCACAGGAAGAAATTGGCATTATTGCAAGAGAATTATAGCAAAATACAAAGGCCTCAGACCGTAACTATTAATACAATAGAGCTTTAGTTATATTTCCATCAGAAATATCACATATCAGCGTATTTGTATTAGAAACAAAATTAATCAGTACCAAGGAGTCATAAATAAATAAAATAAAGCAAACAAATTAAATAGTGAAAAATATGTTCAAGTATTTAATGATTGAAAAAGTGGAGGATACATAAATAGAAAAGTGAATTAAACTGACTTCTCGTAATATTTCACTTGCTCATTATGATCTCATTTAATAAGACCATTTGTTATAATATGCCAAACACACTCTTATCGCAAAATTTAAAAGGAAAAAATTTCACAAATAATCTGATATAAAAACGCCACCTCCCTATCACCCTCAATTTTCACCAATACTTTGAGATAAAACGCATAATTTTGCAAAGCACAAGAAATTCACATATTATTGAGTCAAGTAAAAACAAGCAGAAAAAAAGTGAAAATTTAATTAACAGAGATCGACGAATAATTTTTGGCCATTCCCATCAATATGTTTTGCGAATTGATCACAGTTTACCAAAACACTTTGCGCTCGACTATTTTTTCGTGATTAAACTTTCCTGGAATATTTTACAACAACGATACTCATTTGAAAAATATTCCGCTGTTACAAGAAACAAAAAATTTTTAATTTAGAAGCTAATATACATTTCATTGGTAACACATGAAGCCATAAAAGATTTTTGTGGCTTTTCATCTTTTCCTTCAGTCCTGTTTTTCTCACAGATATTATATACTCGTTAACCAGTCAGTACCTCTACCCCAATCTTTTTCATTTTAGAAATGAACTGTTTCCGCTATATTTTTTAGCTCTTCATTTGACAATGATTTATTGAACAAATATTTAAGCCTGTTAACCACTTTTTGGCTACTATTTCGTGTTTCCATTGCAGATTTGATTTTCACCATACGTTCACGAAATTGTTTTTCTAAAATATCAGCGCACTGATGAATAGCTGAATCTTTAGAATTAAATATCCGAGCATTCACAAAAATTTGTGTTATGTCAGCCGTAAATTCGTTCAAACTGTGGTACGCGTAACTATTCAATTTTCGCTGCACAATGCTCAGATCTGTAAGTGAAATATTTTATTTAACCAGCTTATAACAAATTTTAATCATAAGCTACGTGTTAAAATAACCATGGAAAATAGTGAAAAGGAAAGCAAAAGGTATTAAGAATTAAGTTATACTCATTGCAATGAATTTTTTCCTATAAATTGAAAAGTCCTCAAAACTAACCCATTGGTTTTTTAATAATAGAATAATAATCTGGATGATCTTTCTGATCAACTGCTTCTCGAAAAGGCCAACTAGTACGATGATTCTTCAAACTATTAACGACGCGCTTAATAAGCTTAAAATCAGAACGCTCAAGGAGCGGTGAAGATAAGGTGCTTGATTCAGATCCTGCTTGCTTATTTCGTATACACTGTGGGCACAAATATTCAGCTGCTTTCTCGGCTTCTCTAAATTCCACTTCAATAAGTACAATTTTTAAATTTGCTTACTGCAATTATTATTACTTAATTTTTATGTACTAATTTTTAGTATTTGTAGATGAGAGACATATTCATCGCTATGGAGACAATACTGAACTTTATTTTCCCCCAGATGTTATAATAAATGTTATAATAAAGGATGTTTTACATCTTTTCTTCCTCACTCTCATTTTCTCAAAAAATTCTTAAATTCAGGAGATTAAAAAAAATCGCATACTCTTGAGTGATATCAACACATTGCGGGTGGAACCATCCCTCACATCCATCACAACCAACATAAAACTGCGAATCATCATATGGTGTTTGACAAACACAATACAACTCCTGAAATGAGTGAATTGAAAATAAATCCGAAGTTGTAAAGCATATGAACAAGAAAACTCGAAAATGATTGAGGACTTTATAGGACCGTTATATTAACGACAATATTAAGCATTCTAATCATATTATTTAGAATGATAATAAATATCGAAAATGGTAAAGGATTTAATGGCACAATGGCACGATAATTAGATAAGGCTTAAATTGATCTGAAATGAACTCAAATGTCATCCATTTAACTATCTTATTAAATCCACTAGTTGATTGGGTGCGATTATGACAATCAAAACAGAAGTAGACCAATGAGTAGTAGCATAATTCTAAGACTGTTTAAAATTTTTCAGAAGACGATCCTATATGCTCACAGAATCTAAATCGCTGCCAATTAGCAGTAAATTATTCCGCTTATCGAAATCCCAACAACCAAATAAGCAATAAAGAAACATCATCATTGTCACTAATAAAAAGCAAAAACTAGCCTGTTCTGAGTTTTTTTGCTCCTTGGCACAATCTTCACACATCCAACTTGTCATTTTTTTTGATTTTCTTTCTGATATACCGACACATTTACCATGGAACCACTGATAGCATAAATCACAGCCAACATAAAATCTGAAAATGAATAATTACAAAGTGAAAAGCTTGAAGATTTATTTCCTTCACTTTGTTAATGAAATCTAACCTTTTTAAATAGAACTTGTCTGATGTTCATCGATGTTATAAGAGAAATATTTTCTAATGTCTAGGAAAGAATAACATATCGTAACGAAATGGTGAATGAGGCCTATCATATAAGATATATATCATTCGTCTTCATCAGATAACTACTTTTTCGGATCGTAAGGTTGATTGCATTTGCAATGTCGTTTTGTGGTATCGATGTCTGGAATAGATTCTGAAGATGTTGTTTCTGGCCGTGATGATGTTGAAGGAGTAGTCCCACGTGTTGCACTGCGCTGTTCTTTTCGAGTTTTTCCACTTGGCTTCGTTTCATTACGAACTGATATCTGCGATGTTGACGTTGATTCAGTATTTTCAGTACTGATGAAACTGTCATCTCTCTGAAATTATTGAAATCACAATATTTATGAAATCTAAAGCAATAGTCCCTTATTCGCTAAGAATATCTTGTAATTAAGCACACATAATAATGATAAGCCTAAGTTGAGTAACCATACTGTGTTGGTTTCTCAAGATGCACAGGAAAGATACTGAGTAAGAAAATTAGTGGAATTTCTATCCAAGACAGTTATAAATTGGCTTTCAGCAATTCAAGCATAAACTGCGGAATCACATTCAAACCGAAATTACGCAAAGCCAGCAATGTGAAATCATTTTTAAGCAGTGAAGTCATCTTTTATATAATATATGAAATACAAAAAGCCAATTTCTGATTAAATTACAAGGGGAATTCATTCTGTTCTAACAATTTCTTGTCTTTTTTATTTCTATTCATCCACCTCTGCTTTTTAAAAAACAAAAAAATATCAACAGATTTTTCGAACACTGCTGCAAATGTCTTGTTGATTGTTCTATGTCGTCATTTTCAGTAAAANAAAAAAAAAAAAAAAACACTTACACTTTTTTTCTTCTTGATTCTCTCACTGTGTCGCTGTTGTGAGGAGTCTTCCACTTGATGCGCTGAATCCGTTAAAAGATGATGTTCTGGAGATGACTGCGGTAACTGCTGATCAGTAGACAAATCCAGTATTAATCCCGTAGTTTCCGAACACTGTACACTATCACTTTTGCTTGGAAGCTGAGTACTGGACTGTTCGTCTACCTAAAGTTTAATTATAAAAATAAAAATCAGAAATCTATTGTATTTAAGTGAAAGAGATTCGCACAATCCCAACAAACCTTGCTCGATGCTGTTTCGTCGGTATACACTGTGCCACCTAACGATATAGTAGATGGTTCTATTAGCTTTTCAAATCCACGTGCCCCTGCAAAAATATAATAAAAAAGAAATTCTGTTTGAAAGAAAGGATAAAATTCAAATATTTAAAATGTTAAAAATCAAATCTACCAAAGTTAATCTTAATAAAAATTCAAATCTACTAAAATTAACCTCAGTAAATCTATCAAGATAACTGTCTGACAAGTGGCACCCCCAATGTCATCGAATTAAATTAAGATATTAAAAAAAGCATCTACAAAATTAAATTGATATTTTCTCTCCTATGCCATTCTGTTTTCGATCAACTTTTAAGTCTCACTCTTTTCAGCTCTACTTCGAGGCCGGCGCCATGGCGCAATTATTCCGACCTCGGCCTCTGCTCTCTCCTCTAACTTAAGACGCCTTTTATTGACTTCTCTCTTGAATCGTTCAATTCGCTCACCCAGCTCAACTTCAAGTTGTCTTGCTGAAAGCCGTTCAAGTTTCAGTGCCCTAAAAATTAAGAAATTATTACTAGTAAAACAAAATGATGAATGGAAAACAAAATGGAAAGAACTATATCACCACAACATAATAACTGACATCCTTTAGATAGTAATTAACTCCACTTCGAAGGTAATCAATCTAAAAAAAGAACAGCTGCGCAGCGCTGAACGAATAAAATAATACCTTTGTTGCATTTCACGGCGCTTTCTTTCTTCCTGGCGCATTTCATAAAAACGCTGGATATGACGTCGATGCCAACCATTCTCAGCATCCATTTTGCAAACTTCTATTATCAAATTGTCAAGAATCTGAAGAACCAAAAGGTCAATAAAAATAAACATTAATATATAAAAGATTTAATAGATTTTGTTAAAATTCAATTCATATCTAAATTTTAGATATGCTCTTCACTTCCAAAATTCAGATGTATCATAACTTTAGAACAAAATTTCAGCAGTTTGGTGTTTTTGCTCAAAGCGGAAGGCTTTTTCAACGTAAAAAGCTACTAGAGAAGAGAGTTATAACTAGAAAACAACAATATGTGATACGAAAGAAAACCTCTTTTATAATTCGTTGATCAACTTCATCAGAAGGAAGAATGTAAAGATTTGAGCGCATATCGACGGTTCCAATATGTGTTATATGAGTACGGAAACCAGCGTAATTATGTCTGACTGATGATGGCATATCTGTTAATTCGTTCAGCTGTGATTTATGCATCCTTCCATAGAGAGATGATACTGGAAATTAAGAAATGAAAAAAGGTCCGGAGAATGGTATTCGGAACTAAAAAAATGAGTATGGATGATTGAATGTTTTAATTATAAACAGTTAATAGGTGATCAAGGTAATCAAAGTTGTAATTTAACAGCCAGAAAAAAAATTTCTTCATGAAAAATGTTAACAGTAGACAAATTCTTCAAAATTATTGCAATACTCACAACTAATACATTCTAAAATTAAATTTATATGAAACTATTACATACACAATTAATTCATCATCGTATAATCGAAATACTCCTAGGCTGGAATCCTACTAGTGTGGCTTAATACTATATATATGCTTCTAATCCTATCATCCAGTTTAGTAATGAAATCCTAAACCACTTTATTTCTTACTTGTTATTTGTAATAGTAAGTTCCCGGATTGTATGTATTTCTAACAAATAAATTTCGGCCATCTTCCGTTCAGCATTTGCACTGTGCATTAGAATTACTTACCCTAATTCTTATGCATAACTTCAATTCAATACGTTTCAGTCAACTAAGACACATATATAATATATGATCATGCTTAAACATCACAAAAAGAACATTGATAAGTACTTGGAATATCCAAAAATTATCCATTACTGACTAATTATTTATAACTTAGAAACTTAGTTCGTTACATGAGCTCAACAAGATATCTCCAAACATCAATCTTAAAAATACCATAATATGCACTGCACACTTCCTACTAGAGCATAACATGTCACAAAGGATTTGTTATGCGCATATTATCATCATTATTGCAGTTCATTAGAGATCATTGATAGTTGCAATAGCAGAAAAAAAACTCGAACAACTAAAAAAAACTCAAAAGAATGGGGCAATGAATTCTTAAGCATGAACAATGGAATGCTTCTGTACTTGATCATTCTCTTAGACCAATTAAAAAATGTTAGAGATGATACAATATTTGATAATGGGATATACAACATTCCAAATTCTGTTTTTGAATTCGTACAGAAATTTTGAAGTGTTAAGTAGAATGGAGATTATATGTCAGTAGATAAGAATTAATGAATTTCTTTCAACTAGAATTACATCCAGTGCATGTTTATCAAATGTTTCATGAGAATAAGCTAAAAAGCAAAAGTATAGCATACATTTTATTCAGGTCGCTTTTTTTTCCAAATCAGAAAAAAATGGAAATTTTCAAAGCATTAACAAATTTGAATAAAAGTAATACTAATTAACGATTTACCTCCTCGTCCGTGATGCCCTGTTCGAGCCATTTCAGCACCAAGATGCGATCTTGCAACAACCCTGAGAAGGTACATATTATTTCACTTCTTTCAGATATCCATATTTGACTTCATCGACTTTTTTAATAATAATCTAAGAAATGTTCCATTCGTAAATTTCAACTTGTTGAAATAAACCCACCTCAATTTTCCAACGATTTTGCTCAGTTAAAAGGAAAAAATCCTAGAAGCTCATACCCTGCTATTCTAGCTTCTGTTCGTTCCACATTCGCGTATTTACCATCATCAGTTGCAGATCTGGAACCGGCCTGGAAATTGGACTTTGGTAGTTTTTGATTGCCCGTTTTGTCTATTTTCTAATCTATTACGGAATTCGAGTAACCTAACTGGACAATTTTTCATACAACATGCATGATCGTGTGACTTGCAAAAAAAAAATACTTCAAAAATATTTTATTTTATACACAAGGATAACAACATGAAAAATATAGTGATGGTAGACAAAGCAAACATCAGTTTCAGTCAGCTACCATCCAAATTATGAAAAATCATAACACAAAGTTGCGGAAAACTAAATGAATGCGT